AATTCCAAAAATAGAAAAATTGAAACACATTAAAAAATTAAAATCGGGAAATCGAAACATAAAGATTATCAAAGGGAAAAATGAAAAATTTAAAAAATCGAAAATTTAAAATATATACTAGAAAAATCGAAAAACCAAGAAATCGAAATCGAAAACTTGAGACTTCAAAAGATCGAGAAATCGAAATAGCCCGAAATCGGAAAATTCAAAATTGAAATATTTACTTAAAAAAAAGATAAACGGAAAAATCGAAAAACTCAAAAAAATCGATAAACCTAGATATGAGAAACAGAAAATTCCAAAAATCGAAAAATTGAAATATAGATTAAAAAGTTTAAAAAATCGAAGTTAAAAAATCGTAAAAACAAATTCCATTCGATTTTCCGTTTTATCGATTTTGCAATTTTTTGCTTCTTCAATTTTTTCCAATTTTTTAATTTTCCGATATTTCATTTTCGATTTTTCCAGTTTTCGGCTATTCAGTTATTCGATTTTTTATTTTTTTGATGTTTCAATTTTTCAAATTCTCGATTTTTCAATTTTTCGACTGTTTCAATTTCGGATTTTCGATTTCTCGATTTCCCTTTTTCAATTTTACAAATTTTAAATTTTTGAAATTTCCATTTTTCGATTTTTTGAAACATCGATTCCTCGATTTTTCAATTTTTCCAGTATTCAATATTTCGATACTTTAATTTTTCATTTTTTTTTAATTTTAGACATTTCGATTTATCGATTTGTCGATTTTTCAGTTCTCCGATATATTCTTCGATGTTGCGGATTTTTAAATTTCTGATTTTTCAGTTTTTTGATGTTTCAATTTTTCATTTTTACAATTTTTTAATGTTTTGATTTTTTGACGATCCGGTTTTTCTACTTTCAAAATTTTTCAAATTTTTGGATTTGTCGATTTCTCCATTTTTCAATACATATTTTAATTTTGACAACTTTTGCATTTCTGGATTTTTCAAGTTTTCAGTTTATAACGTTTCTAAATGTTCATTTTTACGATTTGCTAATTTCTCAATTAATCGATTTTTTTATTATCCCATTTCTCAATTTTTTGACTTTTCAGTGGTTCTATTTATCAGTTTTTCAATTAAATGTTTTGAATTTTCGTGTTATCGTTTTTCCATTTTTCGATTTTTCAATTTTTCTATTATTCGACTTCCAGTTTTCGATTTTTCGATTTCTCAATTTGTCGATAAAATTTAAAAATCGAAAAATTGAAAAATCGAAAAAGTAAAAAAATCGACACATCGAAAACTCCAGAAGCCAAAAATCAAAAAGTCGAAGGATCGAAATATTGAAAAATCCCAAAACTGAAATATCGAAAAATTGAAAAATGATAGAAAAACTGAAAAATCGGATAACTGAAAAATCGAAAAATCAAAAGATAAAGAAATCGTGGAGTCGAAAAGTCGAACAACTGGAAAACCGAAATAGGCCAAAATCAAAAAATCGAAAAGTTAAAAATTGAACAATTTATAAATTGAGAAATTGACAATCAAAATATCGAAAAATCCAAATCTCGATAAATCGGGAAACCAAAAAACTTAAAAATTCGAAAAATGGCAAAATTGAGAGATTGAAAGATCAAAAGAAGGAGAAATTGAAAAGTGATGAAATCGAAAAATCGAAATAGAGAAATTGACAAACAAAAAGTTAAAAGTTGAAAAATTGGAACAGCGGAAAAATCAAAAAACGATTAAATGGAAAACTGGAAAAACTGAGAAACCGAAATAGGCCAAAATAACAAATTGAAAAACTGATAAATCGAAAACCTGAACAATCAAATCTCGATAAATCGGGAATGAAAAATTAACAAATCGAAAAATTGAAAAACAGAACATTTAAAACCAGGAAGTCGAAAAATCGAAAGATTAAGAAATATTGAAATATTAAAATAAAAAAGATTGAAGAATCTAAAATTTAAAAATTCAAAAATTGAAAAATCGAAAATGTAAAAGGTTAGACACATCGGTTTTTAGTTTTTCATTGTTTCAATTTTTCATTTTTTCGAGTTTTTAACTTTTCGAATAAACAAAATCGAAAAATTATAAAATAGAAAACTTGTAAAACTGAAAAAGTACAAAATGAAAGCTTCGAAATATAAAAAAATTGGAAATCAAGAACTTAAAAAATCAAAGATTGAAAATGTAAAAAATTGAATAAACAAAAAATTATAAAATCCAAAGAAACATTGAAAAAAATAAAGATAATGGAAAAATGAAAAATTGTGATATAAAATCAAGAAAATGAAAATTACAAAATCGGGAAAATGAAAATATCGAAAATCTGATGTTTAAAATTGAGATAGCGAAAACTTAAAAATCGAGAAATCGAAAAATTTTTAAAATTGGAAAATTGAGATATGAGAAATCGAAAATTCCAAAAATGGAAAAATTGAAACACATTAAAAAATTAAAATCGGGAAATCGAGACATAAAGATTATCAAAGGGAAAAATGGAAAATTTAAAAAATTTAAAATTTAAAATATATACCTACTAGAAAAATCGAAAATTTTGAAAATCGAAAAACCAAGAAATCGAAATCGAAAACTTGAGACTTCAAAAGATCGAGAAATCGAAATAGCCCGAAATCGGAAAATTCAAAATTGAAATATTTACTTAAAAAAAGGATAAACGGAAAAATCGAAAAACTCAAAAAAATCGATAAACCTAGATATGAGAAACAGAAAATTCCAAAAATCGAAAAATTGAAATACAGATTAAAAAGTTTAAAAAATCGAAGTTAAAAAATCGTAAAAACAAATTCCATTCGATTTTCCGTTTTATCGATTTTGCAATTTTTGTTTCTTCAATTTTTTCCAATTTTTTAATTTTCCGATTTTTCAATTTTTCGAATTTTCTACTTTCCGAATAAACAAAATGGAAAAGTTATAAAATAGAAAAATTGTAAAATTGAAAACTCAAAATGAAAAAACGCAAAAGTATAAAATGAAGGCTTCGAGAAATCTAAAAACTTGAGAAATTGAAGAAACGGAAAATTCAAAAATCGAAAGATTAAAAATTGAGAAACTTAAAGATCGAAAAATTGCGGTCGAAAACACGAAAATTATTGTAAAATCTAAATATTGAAAATTGGAAAATCGAGGAATTGAAAATGTGAAAAATTGAATAAACGAAAAATTGTGATATCAAATCCAGAAAATGAAAATTAAAAAATCGGGAAAATGGTATAAAAAAAAATGAAGAACTTGAAACAACATCATTACGCTGAATATGTTCATTGCGCTACACATAACCTCAATTTAGTCCTTAATGATTCTGTTAAGAATGTACCAGGAATTTCCGCATTTTATGATTTAATAAATGCTATATACGTCTATTTCAGTTATGAGCTGAAATTATTTTAACATCAAAAAAGAAAAGTGAAATAGATGAAGCTGTAGCTCTTCGTAAAAAAATGGATTCATTTGAATTTGTTGCTCTATTAGTATTTCAATGCAAAATTTTAGAAAATGTTAATTTGGTCTCAAAAACTTTACAGAGTTCAAATGTTACTTTAGATGTGGCTTGTAAATGGATGGAACATCTAAAAGACAAATTTCAAAGTATACGTGACAATTTTGAACAAATAATGGAGGAATCAAGGAAATGTGCTGATACCTGTAAAATTAACAATTCTTTTTCAAATAAACGTATAAAAAAAGTAAAACTGTTTCATGACGAATTATGTGAAGATACCGTTTTCAAAGATCCCACTGAGAAATTTAAAACAACCGTTTTCTATCCTGCTCTTGATATTTTAAATATTCAAATTAAAGATAGGTTTGAAAGCATGAAAAACGTCAGAAACTATTTTTCTTTTCTGGAACCACAGGAAATGTTGAATAGTACAGACGAAAAATTTGTGGAGGCAGCATCAAAGTTGGCAAATAAATACGAAGAAGATATTTCTAGTGCAATCTGTGGACAAATCGTTAGTTTTAAAAACATTGTTGTTGGTGAAATTATTCAGCAAAAAATAACTAAAATTACAGATATTGCTAAGTTTCTGTTTATGGACGATAATTTTTTAACGGCAGAGAGATCTTTTCTAAATTAAAATTAATTAAATCATATTTGCGAAGCACGATGAGTCAAAAACGATCAACCAACTTAGCTGTGTTGAGGATTGAGTGTGATCGATCCCAAAAATTAGATCTCGACAGTGTCATACGCGAATTTATGAACTCTCGACAACGTCGAATGAAGCCAGTATAATCAATTAACAATTTTTAAAAATTATTATGTGTATAAATTATTATTATTTGTAAACCTGTGTTATTCGGCGCCACTACTGGTAAACTAGTAATTTCATATTAATTTTATATTAATTTTTAAATTTGGTGTATGGGGGCGCTACTATAAACTGCGGGGGGGCGCAGTGGAAGTTAGCTACGCCACTGTTGGTGACACTAAGATTGTTATCCTATTGTTACTACTAATGAATGAGAAGTTTCCTAAAAACCTTAAAACCTTATCAACCGTGTCATCGCGGCTTGATACAACAGTACCGCGACAGAAATAAAAGCAACAACTCCTAAAAACTTTTCTACAACGAGCAAAAAACCAACTTGCAGTAATTATCTACCTCGTGGAAGCAACGTTTCTAAAAGACATCTCTATAAATAACGTCTTACAAGTATCTCCTTTTACGTAGGTACTGATAGTCTCGTCTACGTCGCTGCAATTTCTCGATTCCTCTCCGATTTCCCCTTGTTTGTCTCCATTTGAGTGAAGAGCAAAAAACAAGGAAGAGTTCGACTTAACGATCCGTTATAATTATAATTATACAGAGTGGCGCAGTTAATTCCTGCAACATTCCTGCGTGCACCGTGCCCGACATTCCTAGGATTGACTTTCCGTTAGAAATTCGGTGGATTTCGTGTAAACACAAGATTAATTAAAATAATTAATTAGCTGGGAAAGTGGGCTGAAGAAAACCTGTCGTGTATTATTCAGAATTAATTATCCCTTTGTTTCGTTCCTAGATGAATTGGTTGTGGCTGGTTACCATTCCCTTAACCGTCTCAGTCAATTCCCAGGAGTTCAGACCGTGCTCGGAGATTTCCAGAGACTTGCGTTTCCCGTGTACCTGCGCCTTGGGGCCTGTAGAAGTCGCCCTCGACGACAATCCCGCCATCAGTATCAACTGTGACCGAATCGTCTTCCCCGGAGACTTACCATCGCTGCCATATGGAGCTCCGATAGTCTCGTTCAGTCAACGCTGGGCCGGACACCAATCTCTACCCACCCAGGTACCACTTCCGCTCTTTCTCTCTCTCAGTACTGACCGTACGTTAAGATTTTTTCATCCACGGGACTCCCATTGAGGAGCATCGATCTATCGGGCAACTCGCTGCGGAGACTCACTGAACGACTCTTACAAGGTCTTCAGCTGACCTTGGTTGAGCTCAAACTCGCCGATAATTTGCTTGGGGACACCTTGAACCCCATTTTTTCCACGAGCGAGTTACGGGGACTCGGGCATTTGCAAGTCCTGGATTTGAGTGGCAATCTTATCAAGGCGGTGGAAGAAGGGATTTTGGAAGGGTGCGACAACTTACAGGTTAGTTGGTGGGTTTTGGGTCACACGAGACTGACTGTGTTTCCAGGAGCTGTATTTAGGGAGGAATAGTCTTACGTTTATACCAAGTTCGTCTCTCAACGGACCCAAATCGCTGCGGGTGTTGTCGTTGGTGGCTAACAGAATAGGTGCCGTTAGAAGTGGGGCGTTTCAAGCCCAAACACATCTGGAACACATAGATTTGAGTAATAATCTCGTCCATACTGTAGAAGGAGGTGCTCTGAATGGGCTGCATCGTCTAAAATCGCTTCGACTGTCGCATAACAGACTGACGAGATTCAACAGCGATGTCTTCCAGGGAGCCGATAGTTTAGAATCTTTAGACATGTCGGAGAACTTCATCACGGAGTTTCCGACTGTGGCCCTCAAGGTTTTCAAAGACCTTAAATATTTGAACTTGTCGTCCAATTTAATACAGAATTTAGACAACAACGACTTACTGTCTTTGGTGAACTTATACTACTTGGACTTGAGTCGCAACAACATTGCTAATATCGTTCCAGGAACTTTCTTGGGTTTGAAGCAGCTGCGCAAACTCGACATTAGTGTCAATTCTTTAAGAACGGTAAGTCTCAAACAAGTTTTATGTTCAACAACTTCTGTCACAAATGTTGTAGATTGAAGACGATGCTTTCGAAGGTCTAGACAACTTGGAGCACCTCAGTTTGAAGGACAATAACATTCTTTTAATCCCGGCTTCCGCTTTAGGGCGACTACCCAAACTGACGTCCCTACAGTTAGATTACAACAGAGTTGCTGCCCTTTCTGGAGATATTCTTCGTTCCATAGCAGAGCGCGTCACCAAGCTAGTCTTATCAAGAAACGTAGTGCGGGAACTACCTTCAGGTTCCTTCCAGTACTTCCAGCACCTAACATTCCTGGACCTGACGAGAAACTTGATCACTAGTTTGAACACAGATGCATTTCTGGGGTTAGAAAACACCCTAAAGAGTCTATACTTGTCCCAAAATCGTATTAACGCCCTTGTGGGACCACCTCTCTCTTTAACAAAACTGGAACTATTAGACCTTAGTGACAACCACTTAACCGATTTGTCTAACAACGTGTTTGGTATGCTTCCGGAACTAAAATTCTTGAATTTGAGCCACAACACCCACCTAGCAACCATTCCTTCCAACCTAATCCAAACACTATCAAACCTGGAAAAATTCGACATGAGTCACACAGGTCTCAAAATCTTGACACCAGATTTCTTCAGTAAGTCGTCAAAGTTGAAACGAATCCACCTACAACACAACTCCATTGCCGAAATTTCGGACGGAGTTTTCGCCAATATGTTGAACCTCACTGCCATCGATTTATCTTTTAATAACATAAACAATATCAAACAAGGGGCTTTCGTCAACGTGATGAACATAAAAGAGTTGTATTTGAAAGGGAACCAACTCAGTTCGTTCAAAGGGGAGTTCTTCAATACAGGAACGAGTCTTGAGATTCTGGATATCTCAGACAATCAACTCAGCTACTTGTTCCCGTCGTCCTTCCGCATCCACCCACGCCTCAAGAAAGTACTCGCTGCTAACAACAAATTCAATTTCTTCCCGGCTGAGTTAATCGCTACGTTGCAGTTCTTGGAAACTGTGGACTTATCTGGGAATGATCTAAAGACAGTGGAGGAGTTGGATTTTGCTAGGTTACCACGACTGAGAGTCCTCCTGCTGGCTAACAATCAACTGGAATTCGTGAGTGAGATGGCGTTCCACAATTCCACACAACTACAAGTTTTAGACTTGAGCTACAACAAATTAGATCGTCTGGGTGAACGCACTTTCGAAGGATTAGTCAGGTTAGAGTTGTTGAATTTAGAAGGCAACTTGTTGACGGACTTACCTGAAACCATTTTCGAAAGAGCGCGTTTGCAAATGTTGGAGAACATTAATCTAGCGAAGAATTTGTTCGAAGTAGCACCTCTGAAGTCTCTCCAAAGGCAGTACTTTTTCGTTTCGTCGGTAGACTTGTCGAGGAACAAACTCAAAGAAATACCAGCGGATGACAGTATTATGGTAAACATAAAAAAACTCGATTTGTCGTTCAATCCTCTGTCTGACGAAACAATCAGGAATGTACTCGGCGAACCTAAAACTATGCGCGAATTAAATTTGGCAGGTACAGGTATCAAACAGCTGACTCAGCTGGAAACCCCGTTCTTGAGCTACTTGAATCTTTCGCACAACAACATTACGAACCTTGACGATGGTATTTTCGAACGAACCACGCTACTGGAAACTCTTGATGTCTCTCACAACCAACTCAGTGACATTTCTAACTACTCGAGAATTTGGCCTTTGCTCAAAAACCTGCAGTCGTTAAATATATCGTCTAACCCGATCCTCAGCATCTCCCAAAGTGATTTTCAAGGTCTAGACACCTTGAAGCAACTCAGCATGTCTTCGTTGAAACAGTGCGAAAAAATCGAGAAGGGGGCTTTCAAGGCAGTACCTAATCTCTCATGCTTGAGTGCCTACGACTACCCGAAACTGGGCTACATTGACATTCAAGGACTCCTTCTAAATCTTCCATCGTTGGAAAAAGTCAACATCGAAACCAAAGATGCAGCTGTCGGTTCTGATCAACTGCAGTCCGTTTTGCATCCACGGTTGAAAGAATTGGGGCTAAGAGGATCCAGATTGAGGAGCATCTCGTCGGGGACTCTTTCAGGTAAAGCTTGTGGTGTCAAAGTCACTTAACTGAATTCGTTTTGTTTCTTAGGTATCAAAGGCCCCGAGGTAGTCATCCGGCTCATGAACACATCCCTCTCTTCTCTCCCACCAGCTCTTTTCTTCCCCGTCCCGCGCTCCTCCAAGATCATGCTCGACGTGACCGGCAGCCAGCTCACCACCCTCAGCCCCCAGATCCTGGTGACTCTCGACGACCGGCGCGGCGACCTCAAGCTCCTGGGGCTCGAAAGCAACCCCGTCGTGTGCGACTGCAGCGCTCGCGCCCTCCGCCGCTGGCTGCCCTCCCACATGACCACCATCCGCTGCTCGGGCCCGGACCACCTCGTCGGGAAACTCCTGGTGGAAATCGGCGACGACGAGCTCACGTGCGATCCTCGTAAAATCACCACGTCCACGCAGTCCACTACTAGCTCGGTCCTCACGCGCTCCACCCGCTTGCACCCCAAGACCACGGAGCCCGAGATCATCTGGTCGGTGCCCGTGAGCGAAGAGCCCAAGACGACGAAACCGGTCGCTGGCCAGTCGGCCTTGAACAACGACGATACGCTCATTATAGGTATCGTGGGGGGCGTGGTGGCCTTCATAGCTATCTTGATTATTATTATTTGTATCATTCGGTTAAGGATGACGGGGACTCAGTACAGGGGCGGGCCGCTGGCGAACGGGACTCCGGTGATGGGGCCGCCGGTGGTGGGGGCGGGTAGTAGTTGCGCGTGTAGCGTGAAAGGGGCGCCGGTGTATCCGGTGGGGCCGGGGTATGCGGCGGGGTATGCGGCGACGTTGCCGCACAAGATGCAGGCGCCGATGAGGCCCAGCAACTACTCGACGATGGGAAGAGTGCCGTATTATCCGAATAGTGGACAGCCTTATTTTATAGCGCTGCCGGATGAGAATAAGATTTATCGGTAACTGTTGTAGGTTAGGTTTGTTGTAGGTTCAAGTGCGTGAATTTTTTTTATTTAAAAGTTTTTTTATGTTAAGATGACTTTTATGTATAATATATTTTTTATAACGTTTTTTGGTTGTTTTTGTTTGAGTATGGATCTATGTCCTTGTAGGTAAGCGAAGAAAAATGTTGCTTGTCCGGTGGGGATCGAACCACGGGTTTACCGTTTGCCGGGCGGGCGCCTTTACCACTAGACTACGGAGGAGCGTATCTTTCTCCGCTTAAGGACGTGTTATTGTGCCGTCACAGTCGTTAAATTTTTTAATGGGACTGGTTGGCAGAGGAAGTTTATGGAATCTGAGCATGAAGTGTCTTCTTTGAGTTTTATCTTGTTTTTTATTAATTCTTGGGGAATTTCGATACAACAATTTTTCCCCAAAATTTAGTAATTTTTTTATTTTTGAACGAGACACGGTTTAACGTACATCGCACGCAAATGTTTTGAGCCTATGGGCGGATCATTTTTGCCGGTCGTCACCGAAGGAGGCGGTCCAAATCGTCCAAGGGCAGAATTTGTAGGTAGGCTCAAACTACAACGAAATTTACGTGTTGACCAAATTCTTACCCTGAATTAGATTTAATTTTATAAATACCCTATCTAAAATGTTCAGAATATGATGAGTCTATACTTGTGATTTACCATTACATTAATATTTTTTGGATTTGTTTATACATACAGGGTGACTCAAAAAAAAATTATGACTGAGTCAATTTATTTTATTGAAGAAATCAAGAATTGCAAAACTGAATACTTTGAAATCTTGTCAATTAGTTAGAAAAAAAAAACCTGTCCTGCTCTAATAACATCGAGAATATGCTCAAAATCACACTAATATTAGGTCTAATTGTGCCGACCATAGTTATAAAATTCACATTAAAGTAAGTCACGGACATTTTTTGAAGTGTACTACATTTCAAAAAGCAAAAAAAATGTTCAGTTTATAAACTTCATAATTTTGGTTTAAAGATTATTATCAATCATATTTGACGCTTTATTTTATCCGCTCCATTTGTTATCCTTTACTGCGGTCTCTCTTGGGTCGAGGTGTAACACCGGACCGAACGATCTTCGACCAATAGGATAATTTATTACTTCCGACATCTTTTCGGTGACAAATTTAATCTTTGCATACTTCAGCGTAGTTAGTGAACTCGTTGTGACCACTGAAATATACAAAGAGTAAATTTTGAAATGGAACGAAAGTCGAAGAATACTTTCAAAGCCACGATCAAAATGTATTTGCTTATCTTCGCCAAAAAATGCATGACGTCATCGTAAAATTTGATATGATGAGTCTATACCTGTGATTTATCATTGCAGTAATATTTTTTAGATTTACTTATACAGCCTGTCTCAAAAAAAGGTCACTTCGATTTTCGATTTTTCGTTTTTTCGACCAACAGTTTCATCGAATTAGATTTTTCAGTTTCCATTTTTCTATCAACTTTTCGATTTTATTACTTTCTAATTTTCTGATTTTTCAAATTTGCGGTATTTTGATTTTTCGAGTTTTCAGTTTTTTCGTTTTTCGATTTTTTAATTTTTCGTTTTTTTGATTTTTCGATGTTTCGATTTTTTAATTTGCCATTCTTTCAATTTTCGATTTTTCGTTTTTCCATTTTTAGATTTTTTGATTTTTCTGTTCGTCGGTTTTTAGACTTTGCAATTTTTTTGCATTTTTCGATTATATTTTACTTTCCGATTTTTTTGATTTTTGAATTCTCGATTTTACGTTTTTAATTCTTCGATTTCCGATTTTTCAATTTTCCGGTTTTTTAATTTGCCATTCTTTCAATTTTCGATTTTTCGTTTTTCCATTTTTGGATTTTTTGATTTTTCTGTTCGTCAGTTTTTAGACTTTGCAATTTTTTTGCATTTTTCGATTATATTTTACTTTCCGATTTTTTTGATTTTTGAATTCTCGATTTTACGTTTTTAATTCTTCGATTTCCGATTTTTCAATTTTCCGGTTTTTTAATTCTTCTATTCTCGATTTTTCGATTTTCCATTAATCATAAAATTTTTCGATTTTTCGGTTGTTTTATTTTTCGACCTTCGAATTTTCAACTTTCGATTATTCGATTTTCCATTTTTTGATCTTACGATTTTTCGATTTGCGATTTTTCTGTTTGTTTCAGTTTTTATGGTTCTGCAATTTGCAGCTTTTAGATTTCAATTTTGTTACTTTCCGATTTTCCACTTTTCGATTTTTTGATTTTTTTTCGATCGTCGTTTTTTCGATTTTCATTTTTCCGATTTTTTGATTGTTCAATTTTTAGGCCTTGCAATTTTTTTACTTTTCGCTTTTTCGAGTATTTGTTTCATCGAATTTTCGATTTTTCGAGTTTTCGATTTTGGATTTTTCGAGTTTTCGATTTTGGATTTTTCGGTTTTTCCATTTTCCGATTTTCGACTTTTCGATTTTCCATGTTTAGATATTTTTCGATTTTTTTTATTTTTCGATTGTTCTGTTCGTCAGTTTTGAGACTTTGCAATTTTTACTTTTCCACTTTTCTATTATTTTAGTTTCGGATTTTTCGATTTTTCGGTTTTTTAATTTGTCGATTCTCGATATTCCGATTTTCGATTTTTCGATTTTCCAATCTTCGATTTTTCAATTTCCAGTTTTCGATTTTCCACTTTTTGATTTTACGATTTTTCGATTTTTCTGTTCGTCAGTTTTTAGGTTTTGCAATTTGTTTACTTTTCGATTTTTCGATTATTTTACTTCCCGGTTTTTTGATTTTTCAATTGTCGACTTTTAGAGTTTTCAATATTATGAATTTTCGAATTTTCGGTTTTTCAGATTTGTGAATTTCCAGTTTTTTGATCGACCTACTTATTAGATACATTGAATTTTCGATTTTCGGTTTTTCCATTTTTAGATTTTTCTTTTCCAGTTTTGCATTTTCAGATTTTATGTTTTTCGCATATCTGATTTATCAAATTTTCGATTTTTCGGCTTTTCGATTTTTCGATATTTGATTTTCGAATTTTCGATTGTTCAGTTTTCCATTTTTCAGACTTCAATTTTTTTACTTTTCGGTTTTCCAAATTTTCGAGTTTCAATTTTCAGATTTTTGATTTTTCGATTTTCTTTTTAAATCTTCGAATTTTTCGGTTTTGATTTTTCGAATTTTTGATTTTTAATTTTTCCATTCTTCGGTTTTTGGAATTCAATTTTCTTTCTTTTAAATTTTTCGATATTCTATTTTCCGCTTTTCATAATTTTCGACTTTCAGTTTTCAGACTTTCGATGATTAGAATTTTGGATTTTTCAGTTTTATGATTTTTAGATTTTTAGAAAATTTGAGTAGTCGAATTTTCGGTTTTTCAATTCATCGATTTTTCCATGTTCAATTTTTCAATTTAAATTTTGCGATTTTCAATTTGTCCATTGTCGATTTTTTGGTTTTCGATTTTCCAATTTTCAGAATTTCCAAGTTTCTTTATTCAGATTTTCCATTTTCCACTTTTTCGATTTTAGATTTTTCGAATTTTTGTTTTTCCAATTTTTGCTTTTTCGATTTTTCTGTTCGTTTCAGTTTTTAGGCTTTGCAATTTTTTTTACTTTATATATTTTGATTATTTTCATTTCCGATTTTTTTTTATTTTTGTTTTTGATTTTTTTAATTTTCAATATTACAAATTTTTGACTTTTCGATTTCTTGGTTTTCCCGTTTTTCAATTTTCGATTTTTCGATTTTTGAGGTTTGTGAATTTCCACTTTTCGATCGACCTAGGTATTTGATTCATTGAATTTTCGATTTTTTGATTAGCCATTTTTAGATTTTCGATTTTAACGATTTGTATTTTTCGATTTTCTGTTTTTTGCATTAGTGAATTTCAGTTTTTCCGATTTTTGATTTTGCGCATATTTGATTAATCAAATTTTCGAAAAAGTTACCATACTTACAAAAACTTCAAAACATCTACAATATTTCAAAGCATTCAGTTTTGCTATTCTTGATTTCTTCAATAAAATAAATTGACTCAGTCATTAACTTTTTTGAGACACCCTGTATAACCAAATCTAAAAAATATTAATGCAGTGATAAATCACAAGTATAAAACTCATCATATTTTATACATTTAAGATAGGATTAAATCTGCAAAATTTTGAGGTGACGTCATAAATTTTTTAGAGGGGATAAGCAAATATATTTTAATTAAAAATGTATCATGTTTATCATGGTTTTAAAACATCTGCAAGATTTCAAAGTATTCGATTTTGCAAATTCAAAATTAAATTCCAAAATATTGTTTTATAATTTTGATTTTTTTTTCCAAAAATCTGGACGTTTTGGATAAAAACTCAACACGGAGTCATAAACTACATGTGTAGGACTATATTACTGTATACAATTTAAAACCCATTTACTATGCATAAATTTGAAGTGGCGTCATCACATTATTGGTGGGGATGACTAGACAAATTTAATAATTTTGCGACATTTATGAAAAAAATATCAGTTAACAAAAATGGCACGTTTTTTTAAGAGTATTTTATTTGAAAAAGTGATGACATTTTTTAAACGGAACAATTGGTCGAAAGATGTTAGAAAGCAAAATAATTCGTGTCCGGACCATCGTTACTCACGAACGAAAGTGACCATTATTTTATGGAAACAACTACCTGCTAAATCTTCTCCGACAAATTCGAGAGAACTGGTGTGAGCCATAAATATTTCTTACCAAATGTATATATAACTACTGTCCGTCCCGTTATTGTCAATAAAATTTTCTAAGGTAAAATGTGAATTTCGTTGTAGTTTGAGCCTACCTACAAATTCTGCCCTTGAAGGATTTGGACCGCCTTCTTCGGTGAGGGCAGGCAAAAACGATCCGCCCATAGGCTCAAAACATTTGCGTGTACATGATTAATAGAAACGAGTATCGAAGATTCTAAAAAAAAACTGGAAAAAACACGTGTGCGGTAAGTAACGATACACAGTCAGGAAGTAGGTTTGAATTAGTAAAAACAGGAATGTTTTTATTTTTCTTATCATTCTGCATTAGTGCACTTACTCATTAAGTATGTTAAAATATATTCTATTTCTACTTAGAACTTTAAAGTTAAATTATTTGCCTACAACGAACCAAATAGTCAACACTGTTTCCATAAACCATTTCAAGCATGTAAATCGCACTCCTTATCTAAGTAAGTAATAGCAACAGTGTTTTTGTATTTTAGTGAAAAATAACAGAAAGTGAAATTTTATTGTGAGTAGTCACATTGGACAAAATTATAAAATGGTGAAAAAAGCGAGAGCCGAAACTTTGTTACTTACAATATTTTCGCAGATTTGGCCTGCGCTGATTGGTATGATATTAATTTTATTTATCAACAGGTTATTTGCTGCAGTAATAGTACTTTCCAGCCAGTCTCAATTCGTTCTCCGATGGCATGCAGTACGGTTGGTCCGCTCCTGCTTTACAAGTTCTCCAGTCTCACAACAATTCAATGCATATTGAAAAAGACGACGAATTTTGGTTGGAATCGTCCTTCCTGCTAGCAGGACTGTTGGGACTTCCTATTAGTACGTATCTGACCGAAGCCATAGGACGAAGAAACACAATTCATGTCGGTTCTGTGGTAGCACTGGCAGCATGGTGTATAATTGGATTCACGAACAAGCTAAAGTACTTATATTTAGGCAGAATTCTAGCAGGAATTACTGGAAGTATGTGCTATGTAGCAACCATCATGTACTTAACAGAGATAGCAAGACCCGACATCCGAGGATTTTTGACAAGTTTAGATCATCTTCAAAGTACACTTGGAACGTTGTTCATTTACTCTGTAGTACCATTTACTCCATTCTACGTGCACGCTGTTGCTGGAGCAGTTTTAAGTTTGATTCAAGTCATCATTTTTCCTTTTTTTACCGCAGTCACCATATTATTTAGTACAAAGCGGTAAAACGCAAGACGCGAAAAATGCTTTAAGAAGATTGAGAAATAACAATCAGAATGAAGAAGAATTCAACGAAATAGTAGCAACAATAGAAGCAGAACCTGTTCCAAACACAAAAAAGTTTTGTTTGAAAAAACACGACCTAAAAGTTCTTCTACTAGTTACCCTTATTCTCTTCTTTCAACAGTTCAGCGGGTTTATGGTTATCCAAATGAACAGCATCGCAATTCTGAACGAAGTTTCGAATGTATTTTTCCTTAGCAACGAAAATGTTGCGATTATTTTTTCCTGTATTGTTTTAGTTTCCACTATAGTGCAAACGGTCACCGTAGACAAATTTGGACGCAAAAAGATATTCATTATTTCTGGTTTTTGTACCGGGATTTGTTCGTCTTTGATTGGTATTTGCTTCACCCTGAAACGATTTAGCATTAAAAGCGAATTAATCAACTGGACGACAATTGCAATATTTTTACTTTATGCTGTTTTTGAAAGACTGGGTTTGGGATATTTGCCCCAAATTTTGAGCGCGGAACTTCTTCCAGCCGGAATTAAAGCCGCAGGAATAGCATATGAAGAATTTTTGTTTCGAGTTTTAGCTTTTTGTGCCCTAGGTTTCTATCACTACTTCGCAAACTGCTATGGGATGTATGTGCCATTCTTTGTATTTTCGGCAGTGTCATTCTTGAGCGGAATTTACGCAATTTTCGTGATACCGGAAACTAGTGGCAAGTCTCTGAAACAAACACAAGGAATAATAACTTAGACAAAATGTGATTTAATAAAAGTTTAATTAATGACAATCTGCTTTCTAAAATAGTGTTACGTTGAACGGGTATTAAAATCGGCGTCACCGCTTCTAAACTTCTCTGGAACGCCCATTCGCCACTTCCGCTTCCAGACTCTTCTCCGGCCGCCGTCGTTGACAATGAGTCATCGGTGACGTACGTACTAGAAACATGTAACAATAGTTTCAGCATTTGCAATTGCAACACTATACTCATAGGGGCGTTGTAGCGCGAGCGGAGTTTGGGGCTCCTGATCGGGGCTGTTTTCCTACCCACTCTGTGATGTAATGATGATAACGATGATAACTGTTTAGGGGAAGAATTATTTTAACCCCCTGCCAGTTCACGATATTTCGAATTTTGTTCATTTAACTGGCGTAAATGAACTATTAGCAATCTTGTGTGAAGAATTAAGAAATGTTATAATGTAACACTTAAGCATATCCATACAGAAACCTCATTCATAAATTTGTAAACAAGGGGTGTTATCCTGACTAAGTGAATTTAATGAAATCTTCTAGTAAGTATTTATCTGAGCAAATTCCTGGTTGTTAAATTGTGTTAGAACTAGTTAACGATTAAACTCCTAACATGAACTGTGAATTTATAAACAATGAATTAAATTTAACGTGTTGGCATCGGTCAAAAATTCACATTTTCTGATTAGAAAGCCGCAAGAATTAGCTGCGGGTGTGAAGAAAGAAAAAGAGAAAAAAGAGAAAAACGAGAAGAAGAAGAGAAGACAATAAAGTCCCTGAAAACAGAAGAAGAAGTATGGAAATATATAAACAAGGAACGGAGAAGTCAGTAGGAAAATCAAAATACATGAGTGGAAAAGACATTTTGTGGAATTATTGGTTGGTTTTCTTGTTATTTAGATAAAGGAATAAATTAAATGCACAGTTCTATATTTAAACGCTCTGTATTTTTGCAAGTTATATAATAAATGCTCAGTTAAAAAATAAATTCTCACTAAAAATAATATATGCTTGGTGAAATAATAGCTGCTTAGTTAAATTAATAACAGTTCGGTTAAATAAGGAATGCTAAATAAGAACCCTACGTGCTAAGTAGAAAAATTGGTCGAAGGTTAATTCGACAGAACTTCCCTCGCCCGTCAATTGCAGCACAACAAATAATACTCCCGCAGAAGGCGCAAATTGAAAAATGAAATATACTTAAAATAGACAACAAATCGGAAAAATCGAAAAATCAAAAACTTTAAAAATCGAAAAATCAAAACACCCAAAAATCGAAAAATTAAAAAATTAAAAAATTTAAATATCTGAAAATATTGAAAAGGTCGCAATATTCAAATCCTGAAAAATTGAGAATTGAAAACTTGAAAAATTGAGAAATTCAAGCATCAAAAATTAGTAAAAAAAAACAAAAATCTAAAATTCAAAAATCAAAAAATTGAAGACTCGAAAAGCCAAAAAGTCGAAAAATCGAAACATCGGAATGTTCAAAAACTGAAACATCGAGAAATCAAAACATTAACAGTAGAGGAGTCAAAAAATCAAAAAATTAAGAAATCAAATTAGACCAAAATTGAAAAATCGAAATGTTAATAATTAAAAAATTGAAATATTTTAAATGAAAAAAAATCGGTAAACCGAAAAATTGAAAATCTAAAAATCGAGAAATTGAACAATCTAAAAATTAAATAATTTAAAAATCGAAGAATTGGAAAACCAAAAAATCTAAACCAAGAACTTGAAAAATCGAATAATCGACAAATCAAAACATCAAGGAAAACAAAAAAAATTACGGAAAATCTAGAACTTAAATATTGACAAATTAAAATACCTATCGAAAAATTGAAAAACCAAGAAATCGAAACATCAAAAAATGGAAAAATTGAAGAACCGAAACATTGCAAAATCCCAGAACTGAAATACTTAAAAATGGAAGGAAAATTGAAAAATCGAGAAAGTGAAAAAATTCAAAATTGAAATCTTGAAAAACTGAAAAACGGAAAGAAAATTGAAGAATCGGAAAAGTGAAAAAATCTTAAACTGAAACATTGAAAAATTCAGAAATCGAAAAATTGAAAAATCACAATTGAAGGAAGAATTGAAAAATCGAGAAATAGAGAAATGGGAAAATCAAAAAATCAGTTAATCGAAAAATTGAGAAATCGAAAAATTTAGAAACGTCAAAAATTGAAAACTGAAAAATAAAAAAAATTAAAAATCGTAAAACTGAAACATCGGAAAATTGAGAAATCGAAAAATGAAGAAATTCGAGTAACCGAAAATATGAAGAGTCGAGAAATCGAAGAATGGATAAATTGAAAAATCCCAACAGTAATATATTGAAAAATTGAAAAATTGAAATCGAGCAAAACTGAAGTATCGTAAAGTTAATAAATTGAAAAACTGACAATTTTTGAAAAAAAAAAATCGTATCAAAAACTAAAAATTCAAAAAATCGAGAAATTGAACAATCAAAAAATCAAACCATTGAAATCCCAGTAAATTGATAAATAGGAAAATTTAAAAAACAAAAATTTTAAAAATCCAAGAATTGAACAACAAATAAATCCAAGCCTGAAAACTCAGAAAATCGAATGATCGAGAACTCAAAGCATCAAAGAAAACAAAAAATCTAAAATTTAAAAATTCGACAAATTGAAAAATCATGGAACTGAAAAATCGAAAAGTCGAGATAGTGAAAAATCTAAAAATCTAAAACTTTAAAAACTGAAAAATTAAAATATCGAAAAATTTAAAAACCGAGAAAACACAATATCAGATTTTTTGAATTTTCCAATTTCTTAATTTCTCAACTTGTTATTGTTTCGATTCCTCGAATTCTCGATTCTCAGTTTTTAATTACCAAAGTAAAATGTATATTTTGGGACCTGTTTTTTTTTCGAAAATTTAAATCAAACTTGAAGTTCCTGTTTGGAAAGAATTTGAAAGTGTTTTGAGCCTCTAGTGTTTTTTCTTATAATAATTTAATTAAATTTCTTACTGGATACGCCCACCCACCCACCCTCTCTTTTCTTAGACAGTATCTGATTTGCCAAAATTAGTCTTATCTTGGCAGCTACTAGCCCCGCCCACCCACCCTTTATGTTCTTAGAAGAGTAGGTCATCTGCCAAAATCAATCTTATCTAATAAAGGCTGGGTGGGTGGGACTGTCCTTGATAAAAATAAAAAAACTTAAAAATCAAAAAATGACAAATTAAAAAATTGAATGAATGAGAAATCCGAAAATTGTACAACTGTTTAATCGGAAAATCAAAAACCGAAGAATTGAGAAAAACAAATCTTATAAAATCGAATTCAAAATTCCAGTTTTCATTTTTGTTTAGTTTTTATATTTTTGAATTTTTGAATATTTCATTTGATAATTTGTTTGACAATTTTGCAGCTTTTAATTGCAATCTTTTGATTTTTCAAGTTTTAACCTTACAATTTTGGAAGTTTTTGATTTTTAATTTTTCAAGTCCTCAAGTGAAAATTTTTCCTTTTCACGATTTGTCATTTTTCGATGTTTTAACTAAAAGACTCATTTTGGCCAATAATCTACTCTTCTAAGAAAAGATACTAGCCCCGCCCACCCACCCCTTATTGTCTTAGAAGAATAGGTCATCTGCCAAAATCAATCTTATCTTGGCAAGTATGAGACTGATTTTTACAGATGACATATCCTTTAAGAAAATAAGGGTGGGTGGGCGGCGCTAGAACTTGTCAAGATGAGACTGATTTTGGCAAATGACATATCCTCTAAGAGAATAAGGGTGAGTGGGCGGGGGGCCAGTACTTGCCAAGATAAGACTGATTTTGGCAGATGACTTATTCTTCTAAGAAAATAAAGGCAGGGTTTGCCAATAATAAAAAAAACTTAAAAATAAAAAAATTGGTCTAAAGAGTTTAGACAGTACTTCCCTCGCTGTCGGAAACTTGACGACTGCATGCCTATTGTGTTTTTTTTCTCATTACATTTTTGTAGTGGGAATTTAAAAACAAATTGCGATGACGTCATCAACATTTTTGCAAGGACACGTATATCAGTTGGGATAGATGTAGTGTAATACTAAGAATAAAATTATTATATTCTCAAATTTTCGGGAAAATGAATCGGGTCGTTTTGAATATTGATTTGTAATAATCAATAAAATAACGAAACAATTTACTCACGTATACGTATCAGAGGCAACTGAAAATCGTGTATGTATAAACATTCTTAATTTAAGATGACAGGCGTAACAG